CTCGACTCCCAATGGAACGATCGGCTAGCACGAAAATACGAAACCCCAGTGTGACGCTGCACAAACAAGCATGCACGATGTTGTCACAGTGGTCGGTTATATGGGCTGGTAATACGTTTCCGCAAGGTGACGCGGGATTGCTACGACTTTTGGCGGTGCGCAACGACTTAGGGCCAGCACTAGTAGTTAAAAGAAGCTGTAGACTGCTTCCCACTGCCATTCTGAAGGAGTGCAATCATCAGCTGCACATTTGCAGTTCTTGTCACCATTTTTCACCCAAACAATTCTGGACATGCTGTATGGTTTGGGTGGCAAAGCTTGGCACATTCCTCAGCCGTGTTGGTTTGTCCCAACCAAGGTGCAGCTGGAGAACAAGTATACCCTTCCCAAGTCAACCGCAAAGTCGTGGTTGTGGTTGACTTGGCAATTTTGGTCCTGTGAGTCTTGTGTTGCATCAGCTGCAACCCACGCGGCCCCCGCCCACATTGTGACGCGGCGCGCCAAACAAGAAGGTGCAGCACCAAAGCAACGGGCGACATGAGAACTGGTACAGAGTCGGTACACTGTCGGCACGGCGCCCTTGAGAATCAGACTGCGCATGACTGCGCGGTATTTTCAGTCGACACTGAGATGTAGAAACAATAATCTGGGGAGTCCACCAATTCTCGGAGCTGCCGCAGCGAGCGGACACACTTCGCGACCTCTCGCAGCCTGGTGAAAGGCAGCGGCCAAGCGCTTTCCTTTCTCGCTTCTGTGCTTCTGGGGTTCTGGTGCCGTAGGCCATAGACTCATGGAAGATCGGGTCAGTAAAAAGGGCTTCAAATATCCTCACGCGGCCACTCTTGGGGCTGGACCCTGTGTCACCGATGTCATTCAAGCTCAGATCCAGCTTCCTTAACTTCAAACAGAGCTCCCGACACGGCAGGTTTGGCTTGACAGACACATCTACCATCCAAATTAGACGAAGCGCAATCTATCCAGGCTTTGCAGCGTGCCTATCTCCTGCACCAGTAGTGCGCCATGGAAGGAATCGCATGCCACGTCCACATGTCTAAATTTGTTGTCCTCGGAAAGTTTCTCACATCCTGCATAGCCAAGCCCGGCTCCTGCCAGGTCGGGTCGTGAAAGCCGCGGCACTCTTGAGTGGCGTCATTGGAGCGTATCTTCTTATCATATCACACTCTTTCACAATCCCGTTTTTTTTGCGAGGCCTCCCAGCAGAAGCTCCAGGCTGCGCAGCCGCTGAAGAGAGCCCACTGCCTCTGCATCGAAGAAGTTACCACCGCAGTTGATGGCTCACCGATGCTCGCGATCACTGGAGCCGCGAGTAGTCTTGGAGTACCGCCAGTCTCTATCTGCTGAATCAGCTTCTTGTGAACTGAAGCCTGTGCCAACTGCCGTGCTCCGTCTTCGCCGATGGAGCTGAAACTAATGTCAGCCTGTGCAAGCTGTGGCGCTCGAGCAATGTTTCGCCTAAAGCAGAAAGTCACTCTCTCCCCTCGTCCGCATGTAACATGTAGCTCGACCTTCAATTCCTTCAAGCACTCCAGACTCCCAAGAGACTGCGCCAAGGCAGCAGTGACTTCCTTGGACGCAGCGCAGAGAGTACTTTCGTGCAAAGCCCTGCAAGACTACGAGACGTGGACCGGCTGCAGTCGCTTTCGCCGCATAGCGATCTTGATGCCTCTGCGACAGCTTCAACATGCGCCTGTTGCTTCAGCAGTAAGTGGAAGTATCTTGGCTCGTTTTTGCGTTCTGCAACTTGCAAAACCCTAGAATGCTCGAACCATGTCACTTCAAAAGACAGCCAGTTGCCCCAAAAAACAGGAAGCAACCACAGTAAATGGCATTTTGAGCACACAAGTTGGTTCTGGTCAGCGCTTGGCTTTTGTTGATGAACACTAGGCAATCTTCGTTGAGAAGTGGCAGTGTCTTTCAACAAAACCGCATAGGCACAGGGCTTAGGCTTACACTCGCTTTCTCCACATCAGAGAGTTGCCAGGGCTAGCAGCGGCCGCCCCTCCAAACATGCACAGGCTCCTGGCGAAGCCCACATAGTATGTATTCACCTGTCTGTCAATGTACACAAAATAAAAAAACATACCGTGTACATCTGATCATGGATGCTGCATGCTCTCATGGCATCCATGCATGCATACATGCATACGCATGTATGCATTCTAGCATAAGCCCTGTCATCGACCACGCTATCTTCATTTGTCTTCTCTCCTTCCTCAGTCCTCTGCTGACCTGTCAGGTTCGCACTCTCTGTCAACCTGGTTTAGGTCCGTTGAGGTTTACCGCTATGAGGAGATGTTTGCGAAGGCAGCTGCTGTGCACTTATGTGATGGCATATAGCGTTTACAGCACGTGGCTTCTGGCCGATCCTTTCGTAGTTGTGCATCTTCGCCTGCTCTTTTCAATCGTGAGTCTGTGTGATGAGCAATTGCTTCCGACAGTGTTTTCTTCTTCACCCTGTGTAACACAATCAGGTTTCGCAGCAGCATGAGCGAAGACTGCCTCAGGAACAGAACGCTTCTTGGGTCTGCTCGACATTGAAACCATGCCTGTCAACTGCTGCTTCAAGGTGTTTCGCAGTTGGCGGTCTGTGGCCTCAGCAAACTCCAGTATGCCACAACACATGCTAGCAGAACTATAGAGTCTCTCAGAGAGCAAACCAGGAATAGACCACCTATCACCGCCAGCAGGTAGCAAAGGCGTCGGCTCCAACGCGAAAGGCAGTCACGGCATCGTAAAAGTGCAAGGCCTGAAAACCAAGTACTGTTGACGGGATCTTCGTATGCTTCTATTTGTCTAACTTTCACATGCTTCTCATGGCCATCACTGAGCATCTTGCCCCTGGCGCCAATACCTACCGGGAAGAGAGCATCAAGGAACCCAGGTCCAATCACGAAACATGTTTTGAGGAAAGTACATCTGCAGGCATGTGCCGAGGCCAGTCAGGCCACGCCATGGTTGCACGTGAAGGCCCAGCTTGAAAAATCAGCAACCCCTCTTGAGCATGCGAGCCAAGTTCAGCTACAGATGGGTGCATCGAACAAAGAACCCACACGTGCACACACACGAACACACACACACACACACACCTTTTCTGTCGAACACGGGGCACAGCAGTGCGTGTGTGTGTGTGTGCCGAAAATCCTTCTAGGGGACCAAACGAAAATCGAACACCCAGGATCACACGTTCTTCGGCAACTTCTCCTGCAACTGCGAGCTACATGCCAACCCCTCGGACAACAAGCTCGACAAGGTACGGAACAACACGACAATAACTACATTCAAAGGTTGCATGCTGCACACATGAACATGCCGGTCCCGCGCTGACTGCGTTGTGCTCATCATTGCCTGACCAGGTGTATAGCAGCTGAGAGGGCCCCAACGTCGACCCCTCCCAGGCCTCTCTCAAGTCTGCAGCACTGTCCAACCGCTTTGCGAATTCAACACGGCTGCGCCTCCGAAAAAGCATGAAGCAGGGCATGCCGGCACATACTCTCACCTTGCAGCTTCAGACCTAATCGAACGTTTTTTCTACAATTTAGACCTCAAGCCATCTGGCATCTGGCAAAGCACATCGAAGCCATAGCGATCCACGGAAAGCATTGTGGCTTTTCCAGCCAGTGGAAGACCGGCAAAGGCTTTGGCCATATCCAACACTGCATCAGCATGGTCGTCGTTGCAATGATCGACTGCACTTTTGGCAGAGTGCACGTCGGCAGCAACCGGATCATACTCTGCAGAAGCGAAATCCTGACCACTCACCCAGGACATCTCACCAAAACCTCCAATGTAGCGGATGGACTTCACTGACAGCTCAAAGCACAAGAAGTCATCAAAATGGACATACGATGCATTGGGATGAACAGACAGAAAAGCATCCTTGGCCGTTTCCGTTTTTGGGACTTGTAATGCTTCCACCATGAGAGCTGCTCGTGCAACCGCCAAGCGGTCGCCTTTACCCTGCACTTCGGACACCAAGATGCAGGCCCGAGAATTCTTTTGCAGATTTGCAGTGTGCTCTGCCAAGCGTGACACGAAGGTCACAATGCGAGGACCACCATCTGACACTGGTCTTGGCTCTGTAGCAAAGTTAACGATGCTTCCATATGGCCAGCCAGTTTCATGATGCGAAGTTGACAGTGTGCCATTGCTTATCGTGTGGAGCATTGTTCGAACTTTCTCGGCGTGGGACAGTCTCCGAGCATGGTTCTCGAAGAACATAACCGCTGAACTCCCTTCCTGCTTCATTGCATCAGGAACAGAATGACCCTGTCGACGAACAAGCTGCAGCTCTGCGGATGCATCTGCAACTTCAACAGGATCCAGTATGTTGCTTGCAGGCTGTAAGAGCACGTGGCCACTCAGAACTGCCATGCGGCGCGCACTGCCAAAAGTCGACGCCATAGCTGAAAAGTTCTTAGCGTTTTGCCCAATGGTGCAAAATACTTGTATGCTGCTGAACAGAACGAAGCTTCCATAATGTCTGCAATTGTTGTCTCACAACTGATCCCGACCATGTGCAACCTTCCAAAGAGATGTTTGCACGGTGATGAACTACGACTGACATGGTATGGAACGACAAACTCCTCCGTACAAACTACACATACCGTGCAACCAAACACTTCCCAAAATTTGAATCCATGACTTCGATGCGGACGGTTTTGTCGAAAGGTCGTCTTGCGCCAGCGACTGACCAACCTGCGACAATTTCAAAACGCGGAAAGTCAAAAACATGAACATTGATTCTTGGGCATTCTCTTGCACTTTGCCTGTCCCTTCTCGGCTTTCGAAAAAAGACAAGGGGATTCTTTTTTCGTGTATAAATGATGTGAGCTTCGGTTTTTTTCCCAAAGATGGCGTTATCTGTTGTGTTTTCTGTGTCTTTCTGCCGTCTGTCTTGCAAGACTGTACAAACAGCACAAGGCCGGGTCTCTACATCAAAATGATCAAAACTAGCAACAAAGCTGCTTGATTAAAGTGAGTTAAGACAGCCTTGGTTGTTAATTGTCAGCAGACAACGCAAACAACACATTCACAACAAAGAAAGCGGCGATAGTCTTGCCGATGCAGACAATGGATGCTGCTTCTACCCACCTCTGCACATCCAAAAGAACCGTCTGGGTGCAATGCGTGAAATCTTTAGATTTCGACGCCACTAGAAACTGCACTGAAAATGAATTTTCGACCGTCTCAAAGTTTTATGACTTTTGCATTGCGGAAACAAACACTTCGAGAAGGAAATCTTGCCGCGAAAATGCAGCGGTCACTTCGTGGTCTCTGCGAGATTGGTTTTCGTTGCTGTAGTTCACCTTGCCATTTGGGAAGCAATGATTTCAAACACAGGAGAGTCAAAAAAACACTTTTTCGCTTGCGAGCTGCAGAGAAGCGGGGGACGGGAGGGGAGAGGGGGAAGGACGGAAGAGGGTGCCACCAAAATCCAACTTT